GGGTTCTACTTTGTGAATGATGTTTGCCAATTGCCAGGTGCCACAATGAAGAGGTGGCCCAGTAACCTGAATTCCTCCTGTAGGGCCTGTGGGGTGAGTCCTATATTCTTTCTAGGCTGACTAGTCTTGGAGTACTGATTTAAGTCAACCCTTAGTTCCTGTTGTTACTATGTTTTCAGGTTGTTACATGTCACAGATCTCCATGTTTCTAGTGTTTGTCTCAGCTGGGACCCTACTGTGTCACTGGGTGTCTCATAAGCCCTTTTAATTTTCACCATGTTGGGGGAGGCCCTATTGGCACTCTCTTTAACCTACCTAATGGTCACTGTGTGGAGAGAGTACTCACCCATACTCTTGCCAAACTTACCAAGGTTCTACTTCTGGAGAGAGCTTTGCTACTGCTTCTGTTTACCCACTGAAGTTGGCAAACTCTATTCCTCTTTTAGGGGCATACTCATCGCATGATGGAAGCCTGCTGAGGTCTTCTGTTTGGATGAGGGGTTACTGAGTCTCCCATTGACACATCACAGTTAATCCATTGCAGTCCAAGATCTGGGAGGAGGAGTGGGAGCCTAAGATCAATAGCAATACTAGGTTCAGAAGATGGGGAGTCCCCAAGGGCAATGGAATGGCCGGGGGACAGAAGTGGTGCAGCCTGGCCCTGCACTGCACACTGCTGGATGTCCTGTGTTACAAGGGCAGACAGAGGGGTGGCAGGGCACGGAAGTGGCACACTGGCCAGCCCTGTGTGCCATTGAAGGTTATTAGATGCTCAATGTTAGGCTGCCTTAAAATTTCTACATTAATTAATCTGTTGTTCTGAAATTAAGCCTTACACAGAATCATGAGATGATCAAAATTCAGACAAATTTTACACAAAAACATAACACACGTGACCCATATTATTATTGCCAGTGGAGTCCTTGTTCCATACTGAAACCTATTTAACCTGGTTTTTATCCTTTAGCTTTTTATCAGGATTCTGCTTTGAACAGAACCTTGCATCAAGTTTTGCTCAAAGCACCCTGAGGACTTTTCTAGCTAGCACCTAAAAAACATTCCCAACTCCTCCTTCAAACCAGCTCCACAGGCTTCTGACCTACATGATAATGTGTCAGTCAACCTAGTCTTAGTAGCAAAATTGGGCTTACTACACAAATCCAAAAGAAAGGAGGAAATTATGTAGGTCAGGGTAGAAATCAATGCAATACAGACTAAGAAAACAATACAAAGAATCAATGAATCAAAAAGTTGGTTTTTTGAAAGAATAAATAAAATTGAGAGACCTCTAGTCAACTTTATTAAAGACAGGAAAGAAAAAACTCAAATTCATGCAATAAGGAATGAAAAGTTTGAAATTACTACAGACCTTGTGGAAATACAGATCATCAATACCAACTTCAAAACCTCTACTTTCATAGGCTTGATAACACAAAATGAATGGACAGATTCATAGAAACATATGAATTACCAAAGCTGGGTCAAGAAGATATAAAACTGCTGAATAACACAATTTCAATGAATGAAATTGAAAATGCCTACCAACAAAGAAAAGTCCAGGTCCAGATGGATTCATTGTGGAATTCTACAAGAAATTCAAAGATTTAATGCCAATACTCCTCAAAATATTCAATGGAATTCAAAGGGAAACAATTCTCCCTAACTCATTCCTGGAAGCAAACATTAATACCAAAACCTGAGAAAGACCCAACCATTAAAAAAAAGAAAGAAAGAAAGAAAGAAAGAAAGAAAGAAAGAAAGAAAGAAAGAAAGAAAGAAAAGAAACAAAAACACACTACGGGTCAAACTTCCGAATGAATATAGTTGAAAAAATTCTCAATAAAATTTTGGCAAACACAATGCTGTAAGTCATCAAGAAGATTATACACCATAACCAAGTGGGATTCATCCCAGGAATGCAGGGATGGCTTAACATACACAATCAATAAATGTAATCCATCATATCAATAGAACCAAAAATAAGAACCACATGATCAAATCTATAGATGCAGAAAAGCTTTGGATATGGTCCAACACTTATTCATGATAAAATCCTTACAGAAAATCAGAATAGATGTTCTTTATCTCAATATGATAAAATCCATATATGACAAACCAACAGCCAGCAGCATATTAAATGGCCAAAAACTGAAAGCCTTTACCCTAAAATCAGAAACAAGACAAGGATGTCCATTATCACCACTCGTATTCAAAATAGTGCTGGAAATAAGAGCCAGAGCAATCAGACAAGAAAGAAAAACAAAAAGAGTAAGGATAGGCAAAGAAGAAGCTAAATTATCATAATTTGCAGATGACATGATACTCTACACAGAAGACCTCAAAACTCTATTGAAAGACTCCTAGACATAATAAATAAATTCAGTAATGTAGCTGGATACAAAGTCAATAGTCAAAAAACAATAGCATACCTATACACTAACAACAAAACCACTGAGAGACAAATAAGAGAAGCCACACCTTTTACAATAGCATCCAATGAAATGAAATACTTAGGAATCAATTTAACAAAGGAAGTAAAAGATTTATTCAGAGAAACTTACAATGCCCTGAAAAAGAAATTGAAGAGAATCTCAGAAAAAGGAAAGACATCCCTTGTTCATGAATAAGGAGGAGAAACATATGAAAATGGCCATTCTCCTAAATTTGTTATTCATATTCAATGCAATCCCATCAACATACCTCATAGATCTAGAGAGATCACTCTTAAAATTCACCCAGAATCAGAAGAGACCTAGAATAGCAAAGGCAATTTTAAGCAACAAAGACAAGGCAAGAGGCATCACAATCACTTACTTGAAGTTATACTACAAAGCTACTATAATAAAATCATCATGGTACTGGAATAAAAACATACCTCAAGACCAATGGAATAGAAGATACAGCTAAAACTACAAACACATTCAGCCACCTTATCTTTGATAAAGAGTCCAAACACATCCACTGGAAGAAAGATAGTCTTTTCAATAAATTGTGCTGGAAAAACTGGCTCTCCATATACCAAAAACTAAAACTAGACCCATGCCTATCACCATGTACTAAACTGGAATCTATATGGTTCAAAGATCTAAATATTAAAACAGAAACACTAAATTTTTTTGGAGATGATGTAGGTAGAAATCTTGAAGACATAGGGATAGGTAGAGAATTCATGAACAGGAATCGAACCACACGGGAAATACTTCTCAGAATCAATAACTGGGATCATGTCTCATTAAAGAGTTTTTGCATGTTGAAAGTAATCTCCAGCATAATGAAAAATAAAACTCACCAGTTGGGAAAAAATCTTAGTTAACTGTTCCTCTGACAAAGGACTTCTGTCTAGAACATACAAAGAAATTTTAAAAATCAGATCTCCAAAATTGAAAGACCCATTCCAAAAATGGGCATCTGAGATGAATACACAGTTCTCAGATGAAGAAATACAAATGCAAATAAATACATGAAAATATGTTCAGAATCATTGGTCATTAGAGAAATGTAGATTAAAAAAAAAAAAAAAAACTGAGATTCCATCTCACTCCAGAAAGAATGGCCAGGATCAAGAAAATCACCAACAAGAAATGTTGGAGAGGCTACAGGCAAAAAGGAACTCTTCCACACTTTTTGCGGGAGTGTAGATTGGTGCAACCACTATGGAAATCAGTCTGGAGATTACTCAAAAAGCTGGGATTGGAGGTCCCATTTGACCCAGCCATTCCACTTCTGGGAATATTCCCAGAACTGAAAACATCATGCCATAGTGATATATGTGCACCCATGTTTATAGCAGCATAATTTGTAACATCCAGATCTTGGAAACAACCCAAGTGTCCATCAACCTAGGAATGAATAAAAATGATCCAGTATTTTTGTACAATGGAGTACTAGTCTGCTATAAAGAATAATCACACTGAGATATTTATAAGTCAGTGGATGCAACTCAAGACCATTCTCATAAGTGAAATAATGCAAACTCACATGTGTAAATATCATCTAGTCTCCCTAGTGTATGGTAAGAGTACATAAGATACAAAAAATTCAATAATTACAATGAAAAGATAAGAATCCACTTTAATGGGAAAAATAATATCTTAGGGAAAATGAGGAAAAAGAAATAGGAAGGGAAAAGAAAAAATGTCTGAAAGTATATGAATACACTTAGGATAGCCTAGATGATTGCACTACAAACTCTATAAATTCTTGGAACAAAATAGCTAACATTCATAGGATGGGAACAATTGTGAATGTTAGTGTATAGTGATCTGAGGAATTCTTGAGGATCATTATGTAAAATAACAACCCTAGTTGTGCTCATACCACCTCTTTGCTATTGTTGTTTATATGCCTTTTTCATTTTGTGTTTTTCTAAGAATTTGTTTTGTTTTGTCTCGTTTTATTTTGTTTTTCCCTCTAATACAGAAAGGGTAGGTATACATGTAGAGACTCACGCATGTGTAGAACTTCTAAAAAGTTTATGAGAATTAGTAATATAATGCATGATGAAATGAACAGCTACTTTGAAGAAAAAGAAACACTGAGGTACACAGTGCTGATTCTGTAACATCATGATGTGAAATCCAGCAATACTATTATTCTATGTTCAGTGATTTTAGTCTGTTTTGTTTTGTTTTGTTTAATTTCAATACGCGTGAAGGAATGGACAGCTATTTTGAAGAGAATGAGAGACATTATGGCAGCCATTGTTGACGGCCTTATTCCTTGAAGGCTCAAAATGCCTTCGTTATCCTGTTCTGGTCAGTTTAGCACTATTTTATTTTGTATGAATTCATTGTATGTGAAGACATGGACAACTATTTGGAAGAAAATAAGAGACAATATGATAGACAGTGAAGAACTCCGGTGGTCTTGCTTTGAGTCTGGGTCCCTTACATTGTTATCTTCTGATCGATCTGTTTTGTTATGTTTAATTTTACCCCCTTTAAAGATAAAAAGAAATAGACTTAGTTACTTTCACTGTTGTAGAAGAAAAATATGCATCATTGGAAAATTAAGAAGGAGAATTTTATTTTGCTCACAATTGGTTGGAGTTTCAGGCTTTGAACATCTCCAGGGCACAACTTGACAGAAGGGAATGATGGAGCACAAGTGCCCATTCCATTACAAAAGGGAAGCAAACAGAATGGAGGTGCTGGGCACGCGACAAACCCGCAGGCCATGCCAATAGTAATTCACCTCTTTGACCAGGCCCTGACATTAAGTCAGGTATGAACCTCTGAAATCCAGTCACTATCCCAAAGCACCACCTGTAAGTACCTGATGCTCTAAAGAGACATCTAGATGTACAGCGTAATACTTACTGGGACTCGAGAAGAGAGATGTCTAGCATCAGTTATGAAACACAGGCACTGATTTGTAGTCTTAGCTAGTTCTGAACATGTTCTGTGTTCTCTGAGGCCCTAGGATCGCTATGTTGCAGAATTTGATCCAACCAGGGGCTCAGGTGTCATGGTCACATATTCTACTTGCAGACGGCTGCTCCAACCTGAGTGGTTTGGTGTCTAAATTCCCTGCCTCACAAAGTTTAAGCCATTTACTCCCAGCCTGTGACATCAAGGAGACTCAGCACTTGCTTGTCACCCTAGCTATTCTCAAGGTCTCTTGTGAAGACTGCATGGTGCACTGTGATTGTCAATAAAAACAGTGGGATGCTTTTCGTTATCTCCGGTGCAATTTGGCGTTTTTCACCCACACTTTTATATTCATGATTGCTTTTATGCTATGTGTAGTGCAAATAAATACATAGAATGTCTACAATTACTATATTATAGCTCAGTCAACTAGTGTTTCCTCTTTTTAAAATTTTATTTAAAGAAAGACAAAACAGAAAACATGTAGAAATAGTACATATTTTCAAAGAAAAAATAAACTAATAAATGACTAGTTGATGAATGATTGTTCAAGATACAAAAGTGGAACATATAAATGGAAATTCAAACAGGGAGACTGCAAATCGTTCTGTTCAACTATCTAATAAAAACTTAGTAGTATGACTATCAATCTTATACACTTAACATACACACATTTATCCATATCTTCATTTATGTTGAGATTAAACAAACCAAAGCAGGCTAAAATCACTCTGAACAAAGATTAGTAGTATTTCTGGATTTCACATAATGACACTCTAGAATCAGCATTGGGTACTGTAGTGCCTTTTTTCCCTTCAAAATATTTGTTCATTTCATCATGTGTCATAAGGTCCGTTCTTATCAACTGTTTATATAGGTTTTATGCAAGCAAGAGTCATAACATGTATTTCTATCCTTTTTATATTACAGGGAGAAAAGAACAAAGCAGGCCAGAACAAAACACATTCCTATATACACAGAAAACTACACATAAATACTGGTCCAATTGCCCCTATTACTCTCTGGTTCCCTATCACATAGAGTTCTGTTTTCTCATATTTGATTTTGGTCCAAATACCCTTCTTCAGATTAATTATATTTCCTATAAATAGCAACTCGGTAGGCCCTCCATCTTGATCCACTCCGCCTGAGACTCTTACTTTTTTTCCTTAATTTAGTGTATCTAGACCATTTATAATAGAAATTATATCCAATTTCTCTGCCTCATTTCTGTTATGCTCTTTTTCCGTCATTAGTTGTCTATTTGGCTTCTTCATTTCACTTTTTACTACATTCATTGGGGCCTCTCTGCTACTGTTCGTGAAATCCTAGTGTTTTTCTCTCTCTTTAGAATGTTCTGTAGTATTCTCTGTAGAGTTGGATTGGAGGTTGTGAATTCCTCCAGTTCCTCTCTATCTTCAAAGCATCTTGTTTTTCCATTAATTTCTAGGGACAATTTTGCAGGGTACATCAATCTGGGATGGAGGTTATTTTCTTTCAGGGCTTGGAATACTTTGCTCCATGCTCTTCTCGATTTGATGGTTTGTGTCAAGAAGTAAGCCATAATTCTAAGGGGCTTTCCCTTGTAAGTAATATATTTCTTGTCTCTGACAGCTTTTAATATTCTGTTCCTATATTAGATTTCTGAGATCTTGATTATATGTTCTATTTTGGTTATAGGTGGCTGGATTTCTGTATACCTCATACATCTGAATATCATTTCCTTTTCCTATGCTTGGGAAGTTTTCCTTACCTATTTCTGTGAATAGCCTTTGTAGTTCCTTTGTTTTTATCCCTGCTTCTTTGTTCACATTCTTTATTCTTAAGTTATAGATCCTCTTGTCATCTTCTAGCCTTTTACTCTTACTGCTTGTTTCCTTCTTATCTTTAAGGAATTTTTCCTGGGGCTGGAGATTTTGTTTAGTGGCATAAGCACTTGCCTTGCAAGTGTGTGGTCATGAGTTCAATCCCTTGTACCAATAAAAATGAAAAAGACAAATTTTTTTTTAAAGAAATTTTTCCTTTCATGATCCCAAATTGCAAACCTGTCCTCCAGTTTGGATAATCTACCCTTATTTTCTTTCAAGCAGCTTTGCCAGCTTTCAATGGAGTTTTTAATTTCCTGATAATCTTTTTGAACCTCCTTCATGTATTTTATGTGTTCTTTATTTTCTTCATCAATAGTTCTTTTTTGTGTTCTTCCATCTGTTTTTTTGAGAGGTGCTTAGCATTTCTTTAATTATTCTATTCATATCTTGCTTTACTTGGTTAAATACTTCATTTTTGAATTTGTCTGCGAGGTCCCAAAGATACCACTTTATGTCCACTGGTGCCATATCTGATATTGAATGTTTGCTGTCCTCAATCTCCTTTGCATTTACCTTTCCTAGATCAATGTTCTCAGGGTTGAAGACTAGGGTTCCTTTCTTGTTGCTTCCTCTTCTCATATTTTTTTGTTCCTTCCATACAGGTGTATATAGGAGGCCCCAGTTTCTTTCTTTGTTGGTTACAGTTTGTCTGAAGTGCACTAAATTGGTGCTCCCATCCACTTCAGTGTACTACAGAGGTGCAGACTGGGGAAGCCTATGCTGGGCCCTCCTCCATCCAGCTCAGTCAATCTGCTGAGGGTTTCACTGCATTAGGATGGGCCAGCAGGCATAGGGAACTGGTTTGGACTAGCTTATTGGGTCTCAGTCCAGGACATGACCCAAGTTAAGCACTCCCCACCAATCCTGCTTGAGAAAGGAGCAGCTGACAGAAGTCACTGCAGCTCCTTGTTCACACCAGTCTTCCTGGTCGTAGAATGTCATCTGTTGGAGCCCCTTTTTCTGTGGAATGGTTCCATTCCTGGCACTCACTGCAGGTTGATGCAGGCTCCCTGCCAGCTCAGCTCAGCTCAGTTCTCTGTTTGGCAGCTCTCTGCTGACCCCCCACCCCAGTGTAACTGTGTTTCCAGTGGTTGGAAGCAGCAGTAACTTGGATGACTCAGTAAGTCACCACTGGGTGAGTTCGGGTGCTGCAGTGAGAGCACTGAGCCTTTAGCTGTTCCAGTAGTAGCACCAGGACTGTATGTTTGATTGCTTCTTCTCACCTTAGTTTCTTCTTGGGACAAGAGGATTCATCTCCCTCTGTTTGGGACTCCCCATGCTGTATTATGTTGAATTCTAAGTTGACTATCTCAGGGAGCCTCTGTAGCCTGTTGTTATCTATCCACCATCTTCTCTCTGACTCCAATTAGTGTTTTTAATTTAATTCCAAACAATAAGAACGAATTTTATCCCCTATTTCATATTATAACAAACTTCAACAACTGTGACTATCATTTTTAACCTTGAAATTCACAATAATAATTTCAATAGCTGTGATCAGTTCTGCAAAGAGCAAACTTACTAAATGGAGCCTTGTTTTGCTTTGAATCTGGGGATTAGACTCAGAGATGCAGGGATATGAGCTAGATAAATACCCTTACTTGTGAGTTATTCCACTAGATCTACAATTCTTTTTATCATAAAATACACAGCTATTGTTCAGTGTGTGATTCAGGACATGTAAGAAATAATCCCATCTTTGATGCTCAAAACAGAAATGGTACCCATTAGTATGTAATTTCTGGAATGTGGTTCAGCCATTTGGGGCTAGTGCGGAAGTTGCAATCTGGTTCTCTCAGCTTTGTCAGAGCTGCACAATCCATGTCACAGTAAGGAATTCATGTCAGGGAGCACACAGAATTAGACCTTGTCAATGTCACTTCCCACAGGACAGCATGTGCGTCCTTTCCACTGGCTTCCCATGGAAGGAGTGATGCAAATCACCAAGGATTCATCTCCCTTGTACAATGTGATCTGTAGGATGTGACCTTGATGCACTTCCTACTGTATTACATTAGTCACAGCCCTTGCTCCATGAAGGTGTCTGTACATGGCAACATCAGTATATGAATGACAGAAGTTAAGGTTCCTCAGGGAAGATGCATGATGTCATCAGTCTTAATTTTACAGTCAGATAAGCTGTGACCCAGGCACACATCCAAAATTTCTTTCACTGTGAACAAACAGACACTTCTACCACTCCTCTTGGAAATCTCCTCAGATTTCTTTCAGTTAATCAATTCACCCCCAAAACAAATAATATTGTATATTGTTTTGAAAATGCAGAGTAATTATGTCTGTTCAAGAACTCGACACGTGGAAGCAAACAGGAAGAAGTCTTTGCCATTCAGTATATTTTCCCAGCATAGCTGTGATAATTACATTATTGACTGCAATACCAATGTTTTGTTTTACTTTTAAATTATATTCAACTATATAAACGTTCTAAAGCTTCAAAAAATCATTTAATGAGAGTTGAGTTTTTCTAGGCTTACAAAATAAAAAAGAAGTTGGTGTGCGAGCTTCTCTATCATGTTAAATTTCTTTACAGCACAAAACCAGAGGTGGACATGGGGTCATAGGATGACTGTATTTTCATGAGGATCTTCCAGTAGTATTTTCATGGTGTTTGTCATTCCCACACCAGTGTGTGAGAACACAGTTTCCTCTTTCCTTCCTGAGATTTTTCTGTAATTTCCCCAGGCTGGAACATGTGTGGCAGGTATACTTCCATTGTTTTATATGATTGATGCATAATAGCACTGGTGTAGATTCTATCTGGGTTTCCCAATTTATGTAGACTTTCACTTCAGAGGAGAGAGGACACCCTCGAACTCAGAAATTCCCATCATCAAATCATCGTTTATATATTACAAAAATGTCATTTGTCAATTAACTATTTTAAAATTTAAACAGGATAAGAAATTTGAAAAGGGCTACTGGACTGCCAATGCTATTTTTCATATGTAAATGTCTTTGGAAGTAGCCTTGTTGATAAGATGGAATTTCACTGTTTGTTGCTGTCCCACAAGGTAGGGATCTCAGTGCACTGATTTTAGCACAGAGGAGGTCACGCAAATGAGCAGCACCTGACGTTATCAGGTGGGAGGCCAAGGTCACAGGTGAAATAGAAAAACACTGTGACTCTGTTCTAAAGCACGGTGAGAAATGCGTGGCTGTGGTCTACCATGGGAAGCAGTCAACACTTTTCAGAATCTCACGCTCAAATCAGGAAGTATAGGAAGAAGTTGCACTTCTCAAAGACTATGGAAACAAAGGGAAGTGTATTAAAGGGAAGCTGGGCTGCATAGTGAGCACTGGAAATGGCCAAATCACAAGGGTTTTACATAATTTTCCACAGGGCTGGGAAGCAGCCTGGGTCTTTGATGGCAGAGACACCTAGCCCTGCCTAGTATTATATTGGCTGGGACACTGTGTGCTCACCTGGTCTACTGGGACTAGTCTTGTGCAAGGCTCTCTGGGTGTGCAATAGGGAGGTCAGATTCTGAGGTCACTGGGAGGATGGTAAGAACAGGAATTTTTCTTAAAGGTTGAATTAAAAAATATGGCCTCAGTGTTTGAGAGAAGTTGCCTGTGATAGTATGGAGTATGCCAAATTTCTTCTCAATATTCAAAGAAATCAATCCTTGCTCATATTGAAAAAAAAAATCCCATTGTCAATGGAGAAGCTATTACACTGAAATTGTAATGCGGTAAAGAAAATGCTAAATACTTAGTATCATATCTGGTATTGTTCCAAAAAGCCATTCTCAGGACGAATGTCTTCAAAATGCAATTTCCTGTTGAAGGAAATCAAGCACAGGCCTATTGTCCAAAATGAACTCTCTCTTACGTACACCTCCCAGTAATGCTGACCACTAAAGAAGCCAGCACAGCTCGCTGAGAAGTAAATCTTCCAGAGAATTTAGGAACAGCTCACACTCTTCACAAATATTCCACATGCTTCTCACACTCTGACAGGGTGAGCTGAGGGTGAGCAGTGTCTTCATCCACAATTACATCTTCTGCAATAAAGGGAGAGATCCCTTATCTGTGGGCTTTAGGAAATAGGCTTGGCATTCCATAAGCACTGTCCAAAAAGGGGTGAGGAGCACAGTGCAGGGACCCAGGAGTCCTTTCCACAGCCCAGGCCCTGAGCCTGTCCCACTGCAGACCTGGAGATCATTCCCGCCATGGCAATTTCTCCAAAACCCTTTAGCTTTGCCCTTGATCTGTGCTGTCCTATCGGAGGGTCATAGAACATGTGGTCTCACACCTGGGAAAGGGGTCACTAGGGTCTGATGCTCATGAGGCTTCCCAGGCCCTCACACAGGGGCACGGCATCCACAAGCAGAGAGGAAAACAGTCCCAGAGGCACCAGGACAGACAAGGACATCAGCACTGGGCAGTAGGGTCAGGATGCTCAAGAGAGGACCCCAGGTAGGGGGCAGGGGAACAGAGAAGGAAGGAGGGGACGGAGAGGAGCAAGCAGAGGACAGGGCAGCCTGGACAGGGAGACTGTATTCAGGGCTGGACCTTGGTTAGGGATAATGGGGAGAAGTGAGATGGGAAGCATCAGAGAGAATGAAGAGTCCCCACCACTTAGTAAGGCTCTCTGTAAAGAGAGAGGAAAAACAGTGCAACACGCAGTGAAGAAATTCACCCCACCACTCCCTACTGACCGCTTTCCTCTGTAGGAGAAAAGCCCTGGCATGTGCAGTGGGGTAGCGAGGCTGTAGGAGCTGGCGGGAGGGGAGTCCCGTCCTGTGCTCAGGGGTCTCGTGGGGCCCCAAGGGCTCTGGAGCTGCTGCCCAGATTAGGGAGGTGCAGCCCCTGCTCCTGACCTCGCAGACCCCTTCCTGGCCCTGAGGCGATCTCCCAGCACCCAGACTCTGACCTCAGTTCATTTCAGTTGATCCCAGAAAAATAAACAGAACTTACCAGGTTCTTTAGTGAGTCTCCCTTAAAAAAAAGGGGGGGGGGCAGGCAAAGAATATTCCCCAAGGAAGTTATCCCGGCCTTTGCTGAGTTATGCCAGTCAGGTGCTGAGTTCCATTCTGGAATCCTCTGGGGCTTGGGTTTTGTTCCCATCCTGGTGCTACTGGGAAGGGCGAGATTTCTAACTGTGGGGCTCAGGGTGGGAAACCCTGGGTCACCAGTACCGCCCACCCAGGAGAACGGGCACCCTGCTCCTCTCAGCTTCTAGGCCGCGTGGGGAGTGGTTCTGCTTGGCTCCAGGTCTGACCTGACCTGGGAGGAAAACCACAGCACCAACTGACCTTGACACGAAAACTCCAGAACTGGGAGACAAAGTAAAACTTTTCCTTTATAGAAGTTGGTTTTGCCAGGCATGTGGTAAGGCGAAGCAGCACCTACATCCCTTCTTTATTCACTCAAGAGTTTTCTCTCATATCCTCTCTCTCCCCCCTCAGGGTGCTGGTTCTCACGTAACCCCAGGCGAACAGGTCCAGCATGAAGCCTCTTCCTGGGACACAGGAGTCTTACAGATTATTGGGCAAAACCCTTCCTTTCATACTAGAATCCCACAGAGCTGGGGTGGCAAACATGAGATCACTTTAAATCGTTCCCTTCACAATTACCTGCAAATCGTTTAGCTTCCTTCTGACCTGCAAGCAGATGGGGACAGTAAAGTCAGCGGACAGGTTGTTCAGGTAGGCACACTGTAAGTAACAGGGTGTGGGGCGTCAGTTATGAGAATCAGGATTGTACTCACCATGCCTTCCGAAAAGATTTACTCCTTCTGCAAACAAATCACACAGACAGATAAGTATTTGATGACACACAGACTGAACATTTAATTTAACACAGGAAAGGATATAACTTAGCAAGTTCTTTAGTGAGTCTCACTAAAAGTAAATGTGATCCAAAGTGTGCATAGATATTGTGAAAGGGGGAAGAAACTGCTCAAAAGGAGAGTCTACGGGGATGGGAGAAGGAGAAAAGAAGGGAGAAGAAAAATATATACATATATACATGCAAGATAGGTAAGATAATCCTACTACTAATTTCTATTAGTTCATTAAGAGACTTTTGTGTTTATATTTCCTGATTAATTTATCATGCCTGTATCTTGTAATCTGAGCAACTACATTGAAGATAATACATGAACCTTTGATAATCTTCTATTATCTTGTTTTGAAATTCTACTGCATTGTTTTTTTTTTCTCTTGAAAATTAAAAAATGGAAAAGAAATGTGTAATTTAAAATTTTTTGATACTGGGGATCTAACTCTCACAACTGTGCACTTGCAAGGCAGGCCACTTACGCCGCTGAGCTAAATCCCCGGCCTGGAAAAGACTATATTCATTTTGAAACTCCAATACGTCATCTGTGACCTGTCTTGATTTGTGAACTATTTGGGAACTTTTACAGCTTTCTAGAGTTTGAAGTAGAAGAACAGAAAGTTGTCCTCAATTTCCACACAGGACACCACTGAACTTGTGAAGAATCTGACTACAACTATCACAAGCAGCTTGTTATTGCTGACTTATTACTCCATTAGTTCAGTTTATATCTTCGGGACATTCCTGGGATAACCACAAATATTCCTCTCTATGCAGCAAACATTTACTGAGGTCCTGCTCTAGCCAGGAGCTGCCTGTGCACAGAGAACTCAGCAGGTGCCAGGTGCAGGCTCTGCTCTCCCAGGGCGACCTCTGCATCCCTCATTACAGCCCAGGGCTGGGAGCACTGTGGGACACAGAGTAGAGAGGGGCCTCAGCATCCTGGAGAGGTTGTTTTGTGTGCTGTCTGTTACTGCTTCATTAAAAATACTATTTCTTAGAAGAAAAATAGGTTTATATTCTAGTAAAAATCACAGAGAAGAAAAAACATTTCACATTTTCCTTTACATACATATAACCACTTAAGGCGTCTTACATCTACATCCAGAATATTTTTATTCTACAACAAATTATCTAAAAATTGTACCTCACTGTCTGTCACAATCACTTAAGTGCTAATTGCAATTACTTGCTCATAAAAATCAGCAAATATCATTAAGTATCATTGAGTAGCTAATTGATGTCTTTTTATTAGTAATGTGCTTGTCCTTTCCTGTCAGTCATGTAACAGATTTTTTTCCTTACTTATTATGATAAGACAAAGAATATATATTTAAAGTTTCCTCTGGTTAAAAAGAAAGGTATGTAAAAATTAGCCTAGTGAGTCAATAAAAGTACAGAGTTACATAGCCTAAATAAAAAAAAAAAAAAAAGCAAAGCAATAAAATAAAAAGGAAATGAAGCATACAACCATTTTCTTGATCCAACGTCACATAAGACCTGGTCCCATTGTAAAGGGGTCCTCATTACAGTAGGAAAATGAATAGGAGCCCGGATCCAGTGCTGAGGACACGGTGGTCTCCGTGTCAGGAGGGGCAGTGTCTGCAGATGCACAGCCAGAGCAGGCCCACCCTCTCATGCCCCACCTTGGATCATGCCAGCCCTGACCTCAACCTCACCAAAGCACTAAGGACGTTTTCTCTCCTCCTCCACCACCTCAGTTAGAGTTCTGAGTCTCCTGCAGTCACTACTCCCCAGTGAACTCGAACTCACAAGTCAGTGGACTCCATGCTGCAGGCCTGATGAAGCCGAAACTATGTGACTATACTGTGAAACCTCCCTCTAACTCAAAATCCCACCATATTTTTCACTAATAATTAACACAAATTTGTAGACTTGGTGTTTGGCCTCCTGTGGTCCTCACAATCTGCCCTCTGTCTAACTCTCCTATCTCATCCTGCTGGTTCTTCCCTATCTTTCTTGTTTAGCATTTGTTATTTTTTTAGAACCACACATGCGAGAGAGCAGTACATTATTTTACTTTCAGCAATAGGAACCACTGTGTCTAATGTATGGGATTCATTTGATAAATGAAGACAAAATTATGACTGCAAAGTAAGTTATCCTTATTAGGTATTGTTTCATATGACTTGTTAATTTAAAAAGATAAATGATTTTCTTCTATAGCTGTGCTTTTATTTTATAGTGAATTTCAAATTTCCTTTACTAAATAGTTGTATTAATTCAGTTCTAGGACAGGATTTCAGCACAGTTATTAGAAAGATCAAAACATGCAGAGGTTTTCAGGTTGGAATTAACGTGATCAGTGATGAATTCAGTCTGGGTGCAGTTTGATTGGCTAAGCTGATTTAGAGAAATTTTATATTTAACCAATACTCTATCTTGCAGGATATTTATTCAGATATAAAATATGAAACTGAGTGTGATTTAAAAGTTAGACAAGAAAGGTAATGATGCAAATATCATAACTGCATTTAGGTCAACTGAATTTTTCTGATGTCTAGAATGAAAGAGACAATATATAAATCTCTGATAAATTTTTGATGGTGCTTTTCTTAATTTAGTTTAAAAGATGCTCTCCTGAGGGCTTCCTGAGCCTGGAGAAGCAGGGCTTTGGGAGAGCTGAGAGAGAAGCAGGACCTGGGCAGCAGTCTCCTCACCAGAGAGGAAGCAGCCTCACCAGGAAGAGCTCAGGGCAGCTGCTCAGAGCCCTCAGCTTCTGGACTCAGGAGAACCCAGGGTAGACTGAGGATGGTCACATAGGTAAATAAGACACAGCTCTCTGCAGGGTGCAGAGCCTTGGTGGGGACACTGATTCGGGGAGAAGAGCAGTGTCCTGGGCCCCTGGGAGCAGGGCAGGGGCAGCCTCTGCTCTACAGACCAAGGTGAGGGCACTTTGGGATCTGCTTGCAGGAAGAATTAATTTCACAAAAAATGTAGAATTTAAAGAGCAAATTGACCTCAATCCATTGACTATGGTGAAAGAATCCTGGACCGCAGAACCATTGTCTGACACTGAAGTGTGATCGCCTGTGACCCTGAGCTGTGATGGAAACAGGAGCCCACTGTCCTTCCTTCAGGTTCACAGAGTCAGCCACAGCATTTCCTGGGCAGTTCTCATCTGTGGATTTAGCTTCCTAACAGAACGTGACCTATTTAAATATAAAATGCCAAGATAACCCCACCTTTCTGTGAAAGCACATCTGAAAAGCAAGCAGCAAAACCAACTTGGAGATAACAGTGCACCTAGGGCTAAAATAAGCATTAAGCAGTCATTTTGTTACTCCACCGTGTGTAAGTTAATGATTTAGGGCAGGTTGATGTTGGTAACAATTACCATTAAAGTTAGAAGTGCATGCTGGTTTAGTCCTTTAGCTTCAACAAGCATGTGAGAGAAAAACGTTGATTCCCATGAGTCTTTGTTTTGTATATAATGATTTCAGCGGGTGAATTTGATCTTTGATGGGAGAAACTAAATGAACCCTATGTGGATATGGTAGAATAACTTAAATTTTATAGGAATCCAGATGCAGGTGCAAAAGCAACTCTTTTCCAGGGTCAGTTTCCCCACAAGTGCTACCAAAGCCTTCCTTCATCTGAGTCAGGTGTTTAGATGAGTTACAGTTAAGCCCTGAATATAGCTTTGTGTCAGAAACAATGGCATCATGACTACATTGGAAGTCAAATATAAAATCCAGGTGGTTAATACCTTGGTGCCTTTTGAAGTTTCTAATTATTACAGATTTCACTTAAACCCAGATCTACTCTGTCAGTCTGGAGCTGATTATCCTGAAAGTGAGGACAGATGTACTTAGCTTGCTCCACATTGAGAGAAAGTGTGGCTGACTGAATTACCATGGAAAAGGAAAATGCTTATCAGAGCAGATTCCTCTCTCAGCTTATTCCCATTAAATGGACTACATTGTGTGTAATCTCTATAGGGTTTGGAGGCCAGAATAAAATGTTATGTAATTACACAGCAATGGAGTTTTAGAGTGATTTATTCAGAATGTCCTTGTCACAGTGGATTCCTCCTTACTTCTCTCTGAAAATTTTCTCCCTTGTGAGGGAATCTCTTATTCTCCTAGAGGAAAAAAACACCTTTCTTACAGAGATAACCATAGGCTCATTGAATGTTTGCTGCCTGGACAGATTTCTCTGAATTTGATCAAACTGCTTTCATGGTGGTGCTGTGCTACTTTTCCTGGTGTTTAACCCACTTTTATTTTCCCATCAGTCACCTGGCTAACATGGGTCTCTTTTGCTTGCACCACAGCTCACCATCCAGAATGCAGGCAGATTCTGCCTTGTTCATTCTGCTCTTCTCCTTCATGTGCAAATCTTCTTCAGCTCTGAGCTCAGATCCATTCCCACTGTTTCAGCCAAGTCACTCGTGACCTCCAGCTCTGCTCTCACTGTGGGCTCCAGGAGCCCTCTTTTCCATAGCATTTTTAAAACACAAGTTTTGAGTTTATTTCAAAAGCAAAAACTTGACTTCTATCTTTCCATTTTCACTGAAACAATATCTCACTCTGTAGTGTAGGCTTGTCTTGAACTCAAGGAGATCCTCCTGCTTAGACTCCAGAATGATGTCACTATAGAAATGTGCCACCACATTCAGCTTTGATCCATCTTGAGATGCCAATTACCTCCTCTGTTTGTTTATCACAAAGCATGGAGCGGACAGTCAATCACTGTAAGAAAAGCCCGCTGTGACCTCTGAAGCCAGGTCCTCACTTGGTTTAAAGCAGCCAGCTGGTTTTTCTACATAGGCCTAACAACTTTCTCCATGTTGTTTGATTACTTTGTAAACATAGGAAGGAAGCTATTTCAGTTGTCTGTAAACAATATTTCAGATCAAAAGAGGCATTCAAAATTGTAGACAATTTGTATTCTTAAAGGAGCAAAAGTTCCTACAGCATGGACTGCTATGTGACTTTAAAATTTCAAACATTGCCTCTTACACATCATTTACAGTGCTGTTTGTTTATCTCTTCTGCATGAGGAACAAAACAAGAAAAGCTATGTTACCAACTTCTCTCCTCTCCCTACCCACAATATACCAATCCCACCCCAGAATTTATCCCCATTTGACAAAAGAGTTGTTTAGTTAGAGATTTCGTAGATGTGTATCCATGGATAGAGATGGGTGAGTATTTTCTTGCTAAACAAAATTAGAACACAAATTGAAAAATACCCCCTTCATATGTTAAATTTAGAATATTAAGCAGGGTCTCCTCATGTTTTAAATTTTGGCAGTGATCAGTCACACATGTGTGAATGGAAGTGAGCAGTAAACACTAACCTACACATGCTTCTCAGGACACTCAAAGAGTGTTTCTAAAATAGGTTTGAGGATTCTCAGCCATCACCATGCTTTTAGGGGGTGGCCTGGCAAAGGGGAGAAGAATGTGGAGTAGTGAGCAAGGTTATAAGTCAGAGCACAAAGGAAATAGGATGCCACTCTCATCTACCTTGGGACCTAGAACGATGCATCTTGGGCAGTCAGGTCAAGACCTCAGCCTTTTAGACTTTTTCTAGACTAAAACTGTAATGCATATCTCCTAGTGTCTCCAATACTCAGGCAGATTTCTGACACCCACGTTAAAATATTTCAAAGCTCTACACAGTGGAGCAAGATTGGGTCTAAGTGAGGAGCATTTTCATTAAATCTCAGCTTCACCTCCCAAGACTCACTTCACAAGTTCCAGACTGGATTAAGTGTAGCATGCAAGAGAGTGCAAATGAAGGAATTCTCTCTCCTCTGGGTTCCCCCATTGAATTTTACATGAGCAAGATGTTCTAAGTTCACTCTTGATTTATATACAACTATGTCTCATCCCTCCACAAATGAGTCAAGCCACACAGTTTCCCCTTTACCTCGGCATCTTCTAGATCTCAGGAGGATAACAGCAGCGATTATGATTGTCAAAACTGGGAGCACCAGCATCACAGTCCACTCCACTCTCTTGTTGCTGACCCGGGGGAACAAGGCCTCTGGAAAACAGGAAGCAGCTGCTGAGACCCAGCGGGACAACAGCTGACTTGGTGATGGACACAAGTCCAAGGATAGTTTCTCCAGGGAAAAAGCACAGAGACGCTGGGTCTCAGGCCCACTGCAGCTCTTAGGAGCTCAGGACCTGAGTTCCCTGTGTCCCTGCTTCTCTGATGTGTGAGATCCAGGAGGGCCTGAAGAATTTGGGAGATCCAGGAACACGCTAGATATGGAAACCAGTGCAGCAGATACTCATGCATCTACCATCCAGAATGAATACCATGTTTATATATGTGATGGGTGACAGTGTTAATACACACAAGGACACTCAGTGCAGGAAACTCTTCCCCTCACTCTCCAAGAAAATCCACTCTGCTCCTTTGTGTCCAGTTATTTCCTGCTATGCTCAGCTGCAAGCCCAGCACTATGCTGAGAACACAGGTTGAGATGTTCTACAATTACAGTGAGGACACTGAATGATATCTGATGATAAACCAAGGAGATGTCAAGCTCCAAACCTGAAGGAGAATTCCATCTCACCTCAAGGATTCATCTGAAAGGTGTGATGGATGATAATTTAGATTTGAAAGAACCAATATGATGCCAGTGTTTATCTGTGTGATGATGTGAGGTCAAAAGAGAAATAAAGACATTCTTGTTCAAGAACAATCTTCATCCCATAATTTAAAAATGTGCTTATATGTTCATATGCGAATCAGGTAACTGTTGTTTAATTACTTGTGCATGGCATGGAATGGTTCAAATTATTTAGATGCATTCCTTATCTATGCTGTGCTCTCCCACACAGATTTCAGGAGTCTTCTGGCATTAGGATTAATAATGATTATATTTCTTATTTCCAACTTTTCATTATCTCAAAAATATTCTGTAATCCTTACTGGCATGAAAGTCTAACTGCAACCTGTGGGCTGCTGGATTATCTGAAATTGTGCATTTCTAAGGTTCTCATTAGAAACTCAGTCCTCTGACACATAATTTTCTCTATGTAATCCCTCACCATTAACCTAACTTTAATGTGTGTAAGTTACCAAAATAAATCCCAGAAAATATATTTTTTAAATAATATCTCTAAATAAAGAACTTTATTTACTAATTCCTCTGGATATTAATTTCTATATACTTGGCATTAATTGACCAAGTCCTGGAGATATTTAAGAATTATAGTACAGTATCCACCACAGTTGATACTCCACTCAGGGACACAGAACAACACAGTTCAGAACACACAGTGGAGCACAGAGAGGTGCTCAGTGCAGGAAGAGTTGGGTGAGGTTCCTGGAAAGGTCTCAGTGATCAGGACATCGGGAAATTGCTCCTGTGAGGAGACAGAAGGAGCCCAGCAGGCAGCACCCTGGGCAGCAGGGCTGTGCGGGGTGGGGTGGGGTAGGAAGTGGGGAGAAAGAGAGGGGCAAAAGCTGAGGCTGCAGGAGAACAAATGCACAGGGAAGGACTAGTGAAGTCTTGGGCTGCATGGTTTCTATGTGACCTGGGAAAACAATCCAGGAGGCTCAAGCAGCCCTGGAGCTGCCCTGGATTCTTGTATGGCTGTGGACAGAGCCAGTATGGACTTCGAGGAGTAGCACTGGTCCACCCTCAAATGCCAGGTGTGAGTGACTCCTCAGGAGGGTCTAGTGACAGGGACAGTGGGTTGTTCCTGTGTAACAAGGGGCCTGACAGTAAGTAGCACTTGTCCAGGGTCACAAGGCCAGGAGAGGGTGATGCTGGACTTCAGCTCAGTGTGACAAAGAGGAGGAATAAATTCCACATTGTTATGCAGGAGTTTCCCTCTGGAAAAGGCATTAGACAAGTTTGGAATGAACTTCAACACATTCCTCAAAATGCTCTGTTACACTTACATGATTTTGCTTCTCTTATTATGATGTGAAATAATGATTTATTACACAAACAATAAAAAGTAAGAAAACAGGTATACTTAACTAGCTTCCCAAATAAGAGTTGGCCATGTGTGACCTGGACCATTCTCATAGTTTTCCCATCAGGGTCATCGCTGATCCCCCCTCCCTCCTCAGCACTGACATCACAGAGTGAGGGCTCTGAGCTAACTCACCTGCCACTGAGAGACGCTCCTCCTTCTCCTCCCTGAGCACAGGGTTCCCAATCCAACAGCACAAAGGTGCTCTTGAGCTGCTTGTCATTGTGACTGAGCTTTCCACATAGATCAGGCCATCTTCTTGTTCAGACCTAGTCTCAGAGTCAGGTGACAAAGGCTGTCCCTGTGGGTCCCTCCACTGGAGCTCAGGGTCTGGGTACCACCCTGAGGATGAGCAGGTCAGCGTGATGCCCTCAGTGTCTGCAGGCTGAATGTGGATATGAGGAGGTGCACCTGAGGCTGGAGGAATCATGAGAAGGTAAATAATGCTTCTTTTTTTAGCTTATAAACATGGTGTATGGGCTATTCAGCTTGTGCTTAAAAAATAACAATTGTATGAACCTCAGCTCTGTATTTGTGAGCACTGAGTTATAGGAAAGCTGACCATAAAGTATTTCTCTGCACAATGGCTTACACAAATAAAATTAACTACCAGCACTCAGGAAAACATGCAATCCCAAGCAGTCCTGTATCTGGTATTTCCTTCCCTCTTCCTCTTGTAGTCATTTATCCCCCCATGTGCTGACTCCTGAGGTGGGTGGTAAAATACTCTGTCCATATAGTTGGAGCCTGAGAGCTGCAGATCACGCAGCATCTCATGGTTTTCTATGGTAAAACACACTGGATCTCACAGCATTCACTGAGCTCTTTTTAACTGCAGCAGAATGTTCCACAAGAGCCTGTGATAGGGGGACAGTCCTGTCACCATGGCCCAGTAGATTGGACACTGGAAAAAAGTGTGAGTGGAGCCCTAGCAACATGGCTGAGGAATTGAATATTGTTTCTCTTTATTTAGTATCAACACACAGGCCTCGCTTGTTTATATTCAGGACTAGATTTAAGATCCTAATGCAAGTGATGCACTGGACATGCCTTGAGCATCCTTTCAACAGTGACCATGAGGGAGAGGCAGTAAGCCATCCCATCAGTCTTCCTCTTGCCTTCCCAGGGCTGGCTTGAGGTCATCCTCAAAGTGGATAGGAAGGTCTCATCTAGGGGAGCTGGAGCCTCAGAATGAAGAACGTGGAGACCTCACAGTGTCCACTCCCTGTCCCATCCCAGGCCCTTGAGCCTTCTTGCTCTTCACAGAAGCACTGGGTCAAAATGAAGCTGAGCATGCAGCTGGGCAGTGCACAGCAGCACAAACTCCTCACCTGCCCCATGACTGTGTCTGTCTACAGCAAGGTCCAGGGTGAGGAGGAGGGTAGAGGAAAATGGAGCCAGGAGCAGGAGGTGAGCTGCAGAGCTGAGCCCCAGAGAAGAGCAGCCCTGCTGAGGGCAGCACAGTGTCTCCTTGAAGGGGAGACAGTGAGGAAAGGGTGAGGGATGGGGCTCTGAGCTCCTCCAGAGACTGCATCTCCAGTGGGAACAGGTTCCTGACCTCGGCCACACTTCACTCCTCCAAGAGGATGCAGAGCACTAAAAAAAAACCAGGGCCAACAGTCACACAGCTAAGAAGGCACAGGATCCGGAGAGAGGGATTATGGGGTTCAGCTCTGAGCAATCAGAACAGGGGTTCAGGTACTCTTTGTCATGTATTCCCTTGAAGGAAGATTGGATGAGCATAGTTTTTCTAGTGCATCACAAGGGAAAAGGAGAGATAAAAATGAAATGATTCATACATCATTAAAAACAGAGACAATGTCATGGAGAATACAGAAACAAGACACCAGTGAATTTATGAGCCAATCTTTCTAGGTAAAAATATTTAAATTATGCAGATCACATTTATTATTGCTTATTATTCATTTTTGCATATCACGGACACAGTAAAAGTTTATATTGGCAATTGTAGTATTTATCCATAGTGTCACAAATTCAAAATAGTGAAAAACCCAGGATTGCACAAAACTTGTTTTTCAAGTGTTCAACAAGAAGATCAAACATTTCTTTCTTTCTTTTTTTTTTTTTATTATTATTTTTTTTTTTATCTGTACCGGGGATCGAACTCATGACCACCTGCTTGCAAAGCAGGTACTTATGCCATTGAGCTAAGTTCCCAGCCGCGGATGAAACATTTCTTATAAACTTTACCTTGATAATCAAGGGATTTCTGCTAATAAGAGTAGTCCCTGATGCCAAATGTCACAGGACCACAACTGAGCCACTGGCCTCTCTCTTTCTGCCTCACTCTCTCTGTCTTTCTGTCTCTATGTCTGTCTCTGTCTGTCTGTCTGTCTGTCTCTCTCTGTTTCTCCTTTTCCTCCTGAGATTGCAAAATTGTGCAGAAAAGCAGCAGCAACATGGGGATGTAGCTATATGAGCAGGGAATCTGTTTACTGACAATGCAATGTCACATTTCTGCAGAATGCTCAAAAAGAGGCAAAAGCAAGTGCCAGGGGACAGTTTTTAAAGTTGCATAGAAACAAAAGACTCTACTCAATCAGTAGAAAGCTGTGATTCCATTAGTGACAATGAAAGTCACCCTACAGTGACCCTCCTCTCTCGTCTCCCTCATATCAACCATGAAGGAGTGGACCAGTTATCTGATGAAGACTATTGATGACTGAAGTAGATCTCTTTCCTCAAGGAAAGGGCAGGTGAATTTGATCTTTTTCCTTTTTTGTTTTCTGATTTGAATTACATTACAGTATTGGAGTAATTTTATATGAATATTTGGGGGGCAAAGAACAAATCATGTAGGTTCCCATTATTTCTTAAGTAGATATTTGCTTTGATATACAAGTACTCTGGGTTAAGAGCATGTTTCTGGAACACACTATACTTGCCAACGGAGGTTTCACACTATTTTACAGCTCATGGTACATGAGAAAAGAAACAGAACCTCTTGGACATGTTCAATTTGCTTTGGTTTCATAAAAGTAAGTGGGATTAAAACACATTCTCTCTGGTGGACGTAATCAGTGGAAATTCTGAAGCTTTACATTGGCTTCATCTTTGTTTAAATTTCTGTTGTGCTTCATGCGCTTAACTTGAAACTATAACCACCCCTGCCTTACTCCTTTCTACAATTCGAAAAAAGTGACATCTCTGAAAAACTTCCCTGTTGAATCAATGAGATCAAAACAGAGACCCCAGCAGGTGGTTAGGGAAACACTGCTGGTGTCAGAGCAAACTCCAAGGCAGGCAGCACAGTTGGTGTCCAGCCAGGAGCTTCAGGATGGAGAGTGAGTGTTGCTGAGTGTGCAAGAATAAAGTGGAGCACAGGAAATGCTGATTCCTAAACTGTGGGGAATCTCTTTGGGCCAGAAGAGAAGCCTTGGGACAGGACAAGCCAGGGGGCTCTAGAGGGATAAAGGAATGCACCAGGAGACACAATGGAGGAGGTTCAAAGCCACTTACTAGGGTATATTTATTTACATAAGTAAAGGTTCACTACACACAGCTGCACAAATTCTAGAGAATGTGTGCAGAGCCTCTAGGAAAGGATGTGCCAGGATCTTCCCAGATGTCCCCACAGACCAGTGAAGAGCTCACCAGAAGGTGATGTGGGGGAGGAAGGAGCACAGTCAGGCTCACCCAGCCTTGCAGGCTCCTGGAAAAGTGCCTCTGCCAGTTGCTGCCCTTATGCATGTAATTGGTGCCTGCAGGGCAGGGTCCAGGGCACCTGCTGGAAGATGGGGGCTTCTGAACTCAGGTGTTGATCTCTGTCCAGGACCACAGAGACTCTCTGGAGAGAGGTATTGTGTCCACTTGAGATTTTTAGAAGTTTAACTAAGTCTGTCCAGCCATTCTACATCCTAGGCTGTACCTAGCACCTACCCTAAGGCAGCTTGTAGTTCAAAGGGAATAAAGTGACAATGAACAAGAATGAACTGGCTTTTGCACTTCAGAGCAGATGAGGTCTTCACCTTAGGCTCAGAAGTCTTCTTAGGCTCCTAGAGCGGTCTGTATGTCTTCCTCCTCAGATCTTTCAGCTTTTAGGCATAGACTCTTACTCTTCTGGTGTAGACCATTTGGCCTTCCATCTCAGACTCATAGGCCTCCTGATACAGAGCTGCATGGGCCATTTATATAGCTCTATGGGTAAGCATCTTAATCCAATCTTCTAATGGCTTAAATATTTGCCAATCTTCTGTTATATGTTTCTCTTGTAAAATATGGCATGTAGATTTTGGTTTTCTAAAACTGAAGCCAAAGCTTTCTGTATAAAACTTGCTAAAAATTCTCTTTTCTGGAGACTCCTAAAATGGGTAAGAATCATACAGCTCACTGCTTTTTTAGGTAGTCATGAGACAAAAGTCTCTTTGCTTCTAATCAGAATTGCAGTGGTGCAGAGAAGTGGTCCCAGCAGCCTCTGGCTTTCAGAGATTGTCAGCACAGGAGACTCACACAGGTTAATGGACCTGGAGATTAGGGATGCAGGACCATCTTGCAGGTCATAAATTTGCTTCTAGTGATGATTCAGTTGGTTTCTAATGAGGCCCCTTGAACGGAGACAAAAAGCAACCCAACACTGAGCTCAGCAGACAGCCCTGTGACATCTATAGACAGAGCTGATTCAAGTGCTTTTCATAGTTCCATAAAAAGCCTCCCTTTCCTTTCCATCACCTCACGACAGGATTCTCCCTACTGTCAGTGTCTGGGGAAGAAGAGGTAACAGCACAGGCTTCTGCAGAGATCTAAGTCCACAGGTGACAGAGGAAGGGGGGCAGGAGCACGTGAAACAGGAAGGAGCACATGCAGGATAGAAGGAAATGAGATGTAGAAACCCAGAGTTGGACAGTAGACTGCCCAGGTCCTCCCTGTTCCTGTGTACCTCCTTCTGGGTCTAGTAGTTGAGAAGGAAATGACCAGACTGAGATGTATTTTGAGACTGTTGGAGTCAGAATACATTGCATTCCAAGATCAAATCTGTCCTTCCAGAAATTCATTGGAAAAGAAAAATAAGAATTTTTTTCCATTAAAGAATAAATAACTCTATAAAGCCTAATTAAATGAATTTTAGCCCTAACACCTGCCATTCCATTATGGTGTTTGTAGATACCCAGACACATTTCCCTTACATACAGTTGAGTCTTGATTAGATTAAAAAAAAAAAAAAAAAAAAAAAAAAAAAACAATTCAGCATTTTCAATGCTCACCTGCAACAAGCAGCTCAAACTGTGCTTGGCCAACTTGTGTGGAACTTACAAAGACACAGCTGTACTGTCCTTCATCTCTAGCAAGGATGGGATGGATCCTCAGGGCCACCTGGCCTTGGTTGATGTTTTCCCTCAGGAGCTCTGTCCTCCCTTGGTACTCAAGACTCTGCTGATCCATGTGGTCCTGAGAATTCCTGTACTCGTGAAGCAGTACTGATTGGTCGTCCCGGTACCACCTGATCTCCATGTTCTGAGCATCTGTAGATGGGCTGAGGTGACAGGGAAGCACAGCTGCTTTCCCCAACTGGACAATGACCGATGACTTTGGTGTTTTCACTTGGAACTGCCCTGGAGGTGATTAAGAAGAGGACAGAGTCATTGCTGAGAGGGTGGCAGGCCTTAGTGGTGGCCTTCTGACCAGACAACGAAGAAACCATGTCACATAACTTGATGAGCTTGGATAGCTGATAAGCAGAGCTAAAAATAGGAGGTGCCAGTTCAATTTTAGCATAGGAGATCACAGGACATTACGTTAAATGTGCAACAGTTACAGGACCCTAAACTAAATTAAGTCTTTTCCACTTTGCTTAGGTTTGTAAGTCAAATTCCTATGAAGCACTGTGTTTAATTCTTGTCATTCTGTGTGTTGGAGGGTAAAATTATTTTGCAGATAAAGAAATTCAATCAGTGAGTGGTTTAATACTATATCACATGACACAAAATAATGGATCATAAAGTGAATATTACAAAATATTTTATCACTTTACAGCATATATTATAGTGTCTTATAAGACAAATGCATGTGAAAACATTAAAACAAATCTTTTTCTAAGAAAATAGTAGAAAGATATTGTCTCAGAAAAGTAATATATGTGTCTCCTTTAGAATGCTTAAGATCACCACTTGGGTGCTGGCCTATTCCTCCACTGTGGATCCCACACCTCAACCCAGGCACCACCAACTTATCATTGACACTTTTGTCCTCTGCATGGGGCAGCAGACAAGCCAGTGAAACAACAGACGCGGTTGCAAACAAAACAACAGCCTGAATAGGAGACTCAATATGGATGAGTAAAGGAAAGGTCACGTCACAGAAGCTAAAGAAAGATTCACAGAGAAGGAATGTTCTGAAAGATCCAACATGGCTCAGTATGTAGGAGCCATGTTGCAGTGACTCAGAGAAAATTAATAAGAACTTGGAGTAGAGAGGACAACAGGACAGAGCAGCAAGTCCCAGCAGCTCAGCTTCTCCAGGACAGGAGGTGTGAAGTCTGGAGTAGGAGGCAGCGGGAAGAACCTGAATCTCTGTCCTAAGTGACCTTCAGTGGTAAGGGGTGGTGAAGATCTGCCTCACAAATATCCCATTACACAGCCGCACAGTGCGGGCACAGACAGTAAGACACTGTGTGAAGGGCTGAGTCTGAACTTTGTTTCTAGAACTGTGCCTTGTGGGCTTCATAATGAAAGACCCAGAACAGAGGAGGAAAAGATTATTACTGGAGACTGTTGGCAGCTGGAGAGCAGATTGTAGTAAGACCTACTGAAAGGCAGGGACTAGCGATCACAGATCTGGGACCTGCAATGAGGCACCAGACTCAGCCTGACTTCCTCAGCATTGGAGGCTCACAATTCTACCATTTTCCTAGGGCTAAAGGGAGACCTACAACAGGGGCTCATGGTGTGTAACTTCTCACTCAGCCTTGATAGACACCATGGGAATCTATTAGTCTCTTACAGCTGTAGTTGAATTCATCATGAATAATTATGACTCCAGGGACAGCTGAATGTCTATGAACCTGTGTGCTAACACCTGGAGAGAGAGACAGCAAGAGCTGCTTACCCAAGAACTCAGCCTGGATCAGACTCTGAGAAATGCCTGCAACCTGTCCTGAGGCTGATGTTAACTCCAGCTTTGCAGGAAGGGATTACAGGTGTAACGGGCTTGTGAACACTCAAAGAAACAGGTATTGGAGCTGCTTGGGAGTTACATATGCAGTGACTCCTTGAAATAGCTCATCTGTGTTCTCATCAGACATCTCAGTGGTTGAAATTTTTCTTTTGTTTTAATGTTTCTGGAGTTATTTAATAACATAGGATTATGATTTTTTTACATTTTCATGACTGTATCACATGTAAATTCTTGTGTACTTTTGTTTTAGTTGCCTCAGATTTCATTGATATGGAAGTGCTGCACATTGTTTAGAGAACAGACAAAGGTGGAGGCTAACTGCAAGGACTGTCATATGGAAATATCAGACTGACTCTGTGGTGTTGTTATTTGGAACAATTCTTGTGGCAACACATTGGGACTGAGTTAAACCCACTTAAATAAATGAGGTAAGTGATAGATTAGAACTGGACATATAAAGCTGAAAGCTATTCAAGGGGAGGTAACACCCTGCTAATACTCTCTGTATAATCACATGCTCTCCTTACTTTTCTACTAACCCCTGCCCCAAAAAGGATGGGGAAGAAAAAAGGAAACACATACATATTTTTTAAAATAGATAGATAGATATATAGATATAGATATAAATGTACTCAAATAGATAGAGTAGAAAAATGGGGAAATAAGGAAATAGAAGATCTCCTAACCCATCTCCAGCTCACCCAAGATAGTTCAGAGATCACAAAGGGAGAAGAAAACAATCAGACAGAAACATCCATGAAGTTCTTAGAAAGATGAAGAAAACAGATGAGTTAAAAGAGGAAATGAACCAAAAGTTTACAGGAAGTAATTCCATATGCTCACAGTGAATTTGGAGGAATAAAGTAGACTAGACTATCTAAGTAAAACAAGTCAAAATTTGAATGACAGGTTCAACAAGGATACAGAATCCTCAGAAAGCAATAAGCGAAGGGAAAACAGTGTAGCATTCATATGTCTCAGAAGTGACCAATATGGAGACAGAGTGTCTAACACTGAGGACAAAATGGTGAATCAAGATAAAGACCTCAAATTAAAAAAAAAGATCAAGAGAACAAGAAAAGACTATCAGAAGTTGCTAGATGACATCAGGCAGAACAATCTAATGCTGACTGGAACTAAGAGAAAATCTAGAAATTGCACATTTGGGTTCACCAACATGCATACAGGTACTGTGGAGGAAAACTTCCCAAATATAAGAAAAAAATTCCAAGCACAAGTAAACTATGTTTATAGAATACCAAACAATTATGATGAAAGGAAAAATTTACCAAGGCATGTCCTCATTCAAATCACAGAAAACAGAATTTTAAAAGCAGACAGAAAAAAAAAAAAATTACATATAAAGGAAAACCAATTAGAATCACAACAGACTTCTCAGCACTGAACCTGAAGGCCAGAAGAAGTTGGAGTAAAGTAGTTAAAGCCCTAAAAGCAGATAGCTTCAAAGTCTGATTAACTTACCCAGCAAGTCTATAATTTAAAATAGGATGGAGAAATAAGATATGTCCATGGAAAAGACCAGCTCAGAAGATACATGAGTGCTAAAGCAGTTCAAGAGAAAACACTCACTATTCTAGAAAGAAAAAAAAAAAAAAAAAAAAAAAAGGTAGGGCACACCTTCAAATACAAAGGAAAGTAGTGAGGTCAACAAATAAACAACAACAGCATCAGTCAGAAAAGTAAAGCAAGTGATATACGAGCAGACATAGAAGGTGATGATAGTAAAAAACTAACAGATGTCTGTAATATCACTCAATATAAATGGCCACAATTCTTCAATCAAAAGACACAGACTGGCAGCTGGACCAAAAAACAAAATCCCAAAAGATTATTTGTATTCCAGAATCATACCTGGTCCAAAAAAGTATATATATACTAAAAATCAAAGGATGGCAAACAACATTCAATGTACCAAGACCATCAAAACAGGCCATAGCAGCAGTTCTAATATTAGATACGTTATCTGTCAGTTTAAAATCAAAGAGAAGAAACAAAGAAGTTCACTTCATATTAGTTAAAGGATAAATCAACAAGGAGATATAACACTGATAAACATGGATGCACAGAATACTGGAGAATCTATCTTCCTAAAACAGAAACTGCTGAAATCCAAAGGTAAAATAAACATTAACAAAGTCATAATAAAGAATTTTAACAGCCTTTATTGGCAGAGGCACATTAAATAAAAATTCTGAAAATATTTCACAGCTAAAACAAATCTAAAAACATAGACTTAATAGATAAATACAGAATATCACACTACTCTATAAAAGTGTATGCAATCTTTTCAGCAGCACATGGTACTTTTTCCAAAGCAGATCACACACCAGTCCACAAAGCACTGCTTAGGTACACATGAAGTAATTGAAATCCCCTATATATACTATCCAGCCATTATGCACTGGAACTATAAATGAATCACAGAAGAAAATTTGGAAAGGAAAAACTCCTGGAAACTTAACAGCATACTTCTAAACGACCAATGGATCACAGATAAATAAAGATGTAATTTTAAAAGCTGTGAAAGTTAACGATAATAATGCACAACTCAATGAAACCTCTGCACTGTGAAACCATTTTGAAAAAGAAACTTCATCTCAATTAATGCTCATATTGGAAAAAGAGAGCAGGTCCAAATAACTAACCATATAAGAAATCCTGAGACACTTGAAGAATAGCAATAAACCAGCCTCAACTAGAAGTAAAGGAGAGACATATAAAGCTGAGAGCAAAATTCAATGAAATTGAGACTGAAAAAACTGTTAGAAACATCAATGAATGAAAGACCTAGTTCTTCTAAAAAATATATAAAAATGGTCAAGGCCTTAGCAAGATACACTAAGAGAAACAGATAAAAGATTATTTTAATACAATTAGAAATGGTGAAGGTAAAATTACGACAGACATGTCAAATCTATGACAGTGATTACTATCAGAATTTATATTTCAAAAAATGACAAAGTTCATAGAAATGGACAGATTCCTAGACACATATGAACTACAAAAATTAACCCAAGAAGATACAAATATGCTGAGCAACCCAATAAAAAGCAATAAAATTTACTCAGCAATAAAGAATCTGTTAACTAAAACACCACAGGGCATGATGACTTCATGCCTGAAATCTACAAAATCTTTAAGGATATAATATCACAGTGATTCTCAAAGTCTTCAAAGAAACTGAAAGTGACAGAATATTCCTAAATTCGTTTATGGAAGCTAATAGCACCCTGACACCAAAACTAGATAAAGTTACAACTAAAAAAGAAAACTAAAGAGCAGTGTTGTTAATGAACATAAATGTAAAACTCATAAAGTTATTAGTAATTAGAAAGTAACACGTTATTAAAAAGTTCATACACCATGATCAGTTAGGTTTCATCCCAGAGGTGCAAGAATGATCTAACATGAGTAAGTC